ACCCCCAAGAAGGCCCTTTGTTCAAAAAGGACTTTTATAGAAATGCCCCCATTTGGGGTGTTTGTTCCCCATTTTAAAACTTTTTTTTGGGCAGCTTCTTCCCAATGTTCTCCTAATAAATGAGCTCCTTTTCATAGTTTGTCCTATTTGGTGTCCTTGTAAAAAACTTGCAAATTCTGGAAAAAAATGATTTGTGAATTTTTCTGGTAATCTCACTAGGTAAAGTGGATTTATCTAATAAAAAAAATATCTGAAGTAGAAATAATGTAGAAAACTTTTTACACAATGGTTCAAACACAATTTCAAATGACATTTAAATATTATGGAATGATAATAACCGAGAGTGTTTCAAAAACATTTTTGGGTCAATTCTTTCATGAAAAAGGAATTATTCATCAAAACTCTTGTGTCGATATTTCTCAATAAATTGGATTAACTGAAAGAAAAAAAAATACTTATTGGAAATAGCTCGGACATTGTTATTTACCATTCTGACACCTAAATATATTTGTGGTGATGTCATTTTCACTGCTACTTTTCACATAAACAGAATACTCAATAAGGTTTTATACATTGAAATACCTTTTGATATTTTTAAAAATTTTTTCCCAAAAAATTGGCTCTCATCTTCCTTGCCTCTAAAGATGTTTGGGTGAATTTTTTTCGTTCACTTTCATAATCAATGAGAACTTTAATCTTGTGCTAAAAAATGTGTTTGTTGGTTATGCTCCTAACCAAAAATAGTATATATATTTTGATCCTAATTCTAAAAAAACTGTGTTATCATGGGTGTTTATATTTTGATTTACAACCATTTTTTCACCTCATCTTTGAGGGGAAAAACAAAATAAATATGTTTCTACTTAGTTTTAGGATTTTCTTCAAACAAAGAGTGCCAAAATCGTATGTCCCCAACTTTAGTTGTTCAACCAGAAAATCTAATTGATATTATATCAAGAGAGAGCGCACCGAGTTTTTTAGATATCGAAGTTCCTACAATGCTATTTCATAATGTTGATAACAACGAAGAAACATGAAAAAAATGACAACTGTGGTAATGTTTGATCTAGCATACTCGTGACTAAGAATAACCCAAAAGAAAGGGTTTATGAATCCTTTGCACTACTCATTATCCACAAACCAAGTAATGTCCTCACTAATCCTTACCTCATGTTCACTCCACTTCATCAAATTCGGAGTCTTCTAGTTTTGAATCGGATCCTAGTTTGAATCTTGAGTCTAATGAGTCTTGCATTCCCATTGGGATAATGTATTACACCCAACATTCATTGTACTATTTGTCATATTAAAATCTCTCACCTATTTTTTGTGCATTTACCTCACAATCATCGCATATAGAGATTTAGAGATTCTTGGAATTATGTAGGATGCTCTAAATTTCCTAAGTAGAATGATGCTGTTTTTAAGGAATGAAAGCTCTTGAAAAAATAGCATGGAGAAGTGATTGATCTACCTAGAAGAAAGACAGCTGTTGGATGCTAATGGGTGTTTATAATCAAGTATAATTTTGATGACTCTTTAGAATGACATAGGGATAGACTGATTGTTTAGAAACATTCGCTCCAATTGTAAAACTAAACTCTGTAATGGTACTTTATCAATTGCAGCTATTCTTGGCCCCCTACAACAGTTAATATAATAAATTCCTTCTTCAATGAGAACTTGGGGGAAAAAGTTTATATGGATGCACCTTCGAGATTTAATTAGAGGTTTGATACAAAAGTGTGCAAACTAAAAAAAATCTTGTACGGGTTGAAGTAGTCTCTGGGAGCGTGGTTTGAGAAGTTTATGTTGTTTGTTAAAAGTCAGGGGTTTACTCGTGGGCAAGGAGATCATATAATGTTCTGACATTCAAAGGATGACAAGGTAGCCATACTGATCGTATATGTGGACGATAATATTCTCATCAGAGATGATATAGATGAAATGAACTAGTTGAAGGATTCCTTCTAATCAGTTTTTGAGACAATGTACTTAAGATCTTTGTGATAGTTTTTTTGTATGGAGGTTGCTAGATTGAAAAAAGGAATTGTTGTTTCCTAAAGGAAGTGTGTTTTTGACCTCCTAAAGGAAACTAGGATGAGTGTTTGTAGGCATGTAAACACTTTAATTGATCCCAATCAAAACTTGAGAGATGAAGAAAAAAGTGGCCTAGTGAACATAACTCGATATCTAAAGTTTGTGGGAAAGTTGATATACTTATTACACATATATCGCTTTTGCTGTAAGTTTGGTAAGTCAGTTTATGCATTCTTCATATGAGAAGCACCTTGAAGTAATTAACAAGATTCTCGTATACCCAAAAATTACATTCGGCAAGTGTTTATTCATTTAGAAGATCACACAATATAATATAGAGACATACATCGATGTATATTGGGCAGGCTCATTTGTTGATAGGAGATCAACCTCCGAATGTTGTATTGATGCATGCGAAAATCTAATTACCTGACAAAGTAAGAAATAAAATATTGTGGCAAAGAGTACTGCCAAACCAGAATACCGAGCTATAGCTAATGGAGTATGTGAGATGTTGCTGCTGAAGAAAATTCTTGAAGAGTTGTGGATTTTGATATATATGCCAATGAAGTTATACTGTGATAATAAAACTGTCATAAATATTACAGAAATTTCTATGCAACATGATCGCATAAAACATGAAGTTATTTTCTTTTTTTTTATCATAGGAGTTATGGCTGATTTATAATATTTCTATTCTAAGCAGCCATCCCCCTCTATTTATCTCGTTTTATATGAAATTGAAGTGGAATAATTATATAATATTTCTAATGTAAGGAGCGATCCCCCTCTATTTATCTTTTAATCGTTTTATATGAAATTGAAGTGGAATAATTATTTTCCCCCTCCAAAAAACTGCAAGTATCAATCATATAAACTAATTTTTTTCCAATTTAGTTGTTGGATTTGTTATATACAACCTTTATGACATGATAGAAGTAGTAACTATTAAATTTGTGGATATTAATTTCTTATTTAATTAATAATTGTAAGAAGTTTATAACATGCAAAAAATAAAATAATGGAAAAAATTTTAAAGATAGTTATTACATTATTTGTACAATAAGAGAGGTATATGTATGTATATATATATATATATAGATTCTTTTTTAAATAAAAAAATAAATAAATATATATATATATATATATATATATATATATAGTGCCGCAAGCCGTGACCTGTTGGTTGGGCGGGGTTCACTGTAAGTCCGCTCAGGTCACGGGTTCGATCCCTAGTGGCGTTGAGTTCTCAAATATTTAGGCACATGACGCAGACTCTCATCATGGGGCCTAACACATGTGAAATCGGTATTTGGGCCTCTGCCAAATATCGATTTCAGTTATATATAATATCTAAATATATATTTTTGGGAACACTCTC